GTATGAAACAAAATAATATTTTTGAAGGAGGGGTTAAGCATACCATACCAGAAACCATTATTGAAGGCAATATTTAAAATAGATACATTTCTCATTGAAGAAAATTTCATACAAGAAATAATAAAAATACAAACAAAAATTTTAAAACCTATCCCCTTCGATTTCCTTACTGGGTGGTCACATGAGAATCTCTTTTCACCTGTTTGCTCATAGACATAGTGTGATCAAACCACACTCCAATGTGTCGATCAAGCAGTTATATGCCGGAATAAATGCTCTGTAATGTGAATTAAGTATGGAATAAAATGAGAATTAGAAGTACTGTCAATGTCTGTTTTTGACCAGGCAAAGACAAATAATGCCACAGGGGTGGACAGTGCGAAGTGCGGCTATCATTGCTGCTATAGACTTTTTTTTATATCTGAAACACTATATAGGATTATCACTATTAAAATGTCTGGCAACAGATTGGTTAGCATCGTTGCCAATGACAGCACGCCGATGCCCACCGCCAAAACTTAATTGTCAGAAATCTTCCAGTTTCCCCAATATAAAACATGCCACATGCCAGTATGAGATGCAGTACATGAGATGGAAGGACGAAGTACACGTGAAATGGCGCTTGGAATGGTACTCACATTCTGGATAGGTTAATAAGACTAATTTCTTTGTAGGATCGCATAATATGTCTTGTTCAATTCACACGGCCTTTTATATTGAACAAGTCACATATTATTAGCACTGATGAAGATCCGGGCTTACGAATCGAAAGCTTTGCAGTAATATATTTACGTGGTGTTTCCACAAACAAAAAGTATTATAGGTTAAGACTAATAGAAATTTTGTTGTTATCTTTGACATCAGACACAGGGTCTATAACTATAACTGTAAGGTTCTCAGATCGAGGAATTTGGGAGGCCTTCGATTGGAGGCAGTGCCTAAAAGAGGGGTGGGATAGCCGCGTTGACTAAAAAAGGCTTCTCATTTGTAGTCTTTTGGCTTGGAAGCTCTCACCTTCACTGCAAATGCGGCGAAGACGAAGGAGTGAGAGAGGGGAAGCAGCCTTTTCGTGTGGTTGGGGTGGGAAGAGGAAACTATTACGAACTTCCACGTTACAAATCCTCAGAAAAAGACCGAGGTTAAAAGAAAACCGAAAATATACCTGCGCAAAGTTTTTTCGCCAAAAGCGCAAGGCGCTCCGTTTTTTTTATAAGTCGCGCCAATTTTGTCGCCAGTCGCACCAATTAAAATATGTCGTTTAATTTGTTCACGTTGGGTGGTTTGGCACATATTCTTAGAAACAAAAAAAATTAAGTTAAACTAGTTACTAAGCACTTGCATTGGGCCGAATCAGCCCTAAAGTTAGAGATCGCAGGATCAGGGGCAAAATTCCTCCCGCAACCTTTAAACAGACAAACGCGCTGGTTATGCTTTGAACTGAAAAATGGGCGTACGTACATATATGCAGTACCAACTACAGGGTGTATCAAAAAAAAGGTAATCGAACTTCAGCGCGCTATTATACGTGATTTACTTGGCGTATGAACAATTGGTTTTCATATTCGGAAAGATCAGGCTTTTAGCTATATTGAATGACATGCTTTTTATGACAAGTGGATAAAAAATAAGCATGTACGAGGCCGATTAAAAATGTTAGTCAAAATCGCATATTTTCACCTCTGTGCCTAATTAAAACAATGCATAACAAAAGAAAAAGCAATTACGAACGTGTCGTAACTTAGCTAAGATTTATTCCGACTTAATAATTATTATGAATATGTGTGCAGTTTAATGAAGTGAAATTCATCAACTTAAGTCCTAAAGGGGGTTCATTTTCAATGGTTTTAGACCCAACTCTCAACGGTGAAAATATGCGATTCTCACTAACATTTTTTATCGGATTCGTATTTGCTCATTTTTTATCCATTTTATGAAGAAGATATCATTCAACAGCTAAAAGCATGATGTTTCCGAATGTGGAAAAATCTCGTTCATACGCAGAGTAATTCAGATACAATGGCGCGCTGAAGTTCGATTACCTTTTTTTTTATACACCCTGTAGATATAGCGATGGTCCTAACTTGCAAACGCAGTACGAGTTTGTGTTACATATACGTACACGAAACTGGAGGCTGAGGATATTTGCCTGCTTTTATTGTATTTCATCAATGTGTTAACAGGTGTTACATAAAAAATACACTCGCTATGATACAAATTACACGATTATAGTGATTCTTCTAGGATGAAATAATAATTTACAGTCCACCGTCAAATCACTGTTAGGTATAGATTTCTTAAATCCGACCACAAACTACTTTTAAGCTCCTATACTTCAATAGATAATAATTACGATGCTATATACTGGTTGTATTTTTTTATTCTTACATACTATACTTCGTTTACTTTATTTAAATTAAACACGAAAACAACACCCAAATCGTAATTGCAAAGAGCTTGCAAAATTGCAATTCTTGTCGGCGTAACCAAAACTTTTTTTATTACTTATACATATTAATATAGAGGATTAATACACGTGAATATATTAGACATGGTATCCATTTTCTAGTATTTTCTGTACTAAATAGAATGCGGAAAAGAAGCTCTTTCATAATTTACATGCCGATAGGAATAACATGCGTTACGATTTGATAAGAATAAATAACTGAATAGTTCTATAAGATTTTGTTATTTCGTCAATCATTCGAAAAGTAGAATGGAGAATGAGAACGAATTAACAAATACATTTCCAGATAATGATAATAATTTGTTAAGGCATGAAATAACTTGTCTTCTTCCAAAAGAGTTGTCACACATAAAGTCATATATTGTATTTAGTTTTATGTTATACTAACCGTAACGTCGATTCTTTTTAGAGTAATTGACATTTTATCAAAATTGGTAGGGGACCTTTTAATAAATAAAAACGGTTTTAGGCAACCAAAGATCAATGCAGGTCTATAATTGATCCCTTTCGCAAAGATTTTGCGAGCCCTGTTCTTACAACATCTAGATTTACAGTTTATTAATTTAAAGCTGAAAATCATGCAAAGTTTAAATGACAAACTTTCTTACAGCGAAAAGAAAACGAACTTGGAATATCGTGGACACAAGCTGGACTCAAGGCTGTATTTTGATTTCCTCATCAAGATGAAGAGGCTCATTATCAAGCACTTCCAGGTCCATCTCTTCGTCACTACCTTGACCAGCTGGCCGGAACGCAATTCCTTGTGCCTTTTTGTCGCTTGTGTTAAGTATTCTCGTCCTGAGGTTAGCCTCCCTGTGGGTTCGGTGTCGTTTAATGCGAAGGTAGATTGCGACACTGATCATCAAGATAAACACAACAGCGGCGCCGACAATCACAAAAAAGATTGTTTTGTCCAGACCAAGAATTTTGTCTTCGCTCGAGTCATCTTTTGTCTCATCTACATCAGCCGTAATAAAAGTTAGGTCAAATTCAATCTATATTTCTAGCAGGTAAGATTTTTTACTCTATCACAGGCTTTTTTGTCAAGCAGGCGGGCAGTTTCGAAACGTTTATGGGATTTAACAATATGTTTAAAGACTTTGTCTCCGAAAACGTGAATATGTCGTGACTAGCATTGACCATAGCGTACTTAATACGTTTTCATGGGACAAGAAAGATAATTATTATATATCGGATGTATCATATATGCATGTCACCTATTTTAAATAGATATACGCGAATTTTGTTTGGTATTTCTATTTCTTATACTACCTGGTATAGTCTTCATTTTAACTGTCATATTGCCGAGTTTGCCAGTCTCCACCACTTCCATCAGTGGTTTAAGGGGATCTTCAACTTTCTTCGTAGTAAATATCAGGTCAAACTCCACAATTATACTGCCGCGCCTGTGAAAGTACACAACACAAAATTAGATACACTCTTGCCCGCTAACGTAGTTTATGAATCCATTATCATTTTATTTACGACAGACTGTTAGTGTACTCCGCTCAATTTCTTTATCATGTCTCCTAGTTTAAATATATTCTAGGGATCATCATTCACCAGCCAGCAAAGCGAGGATTCCCTTGGCTACCGTCATCCCTTTTCAAAGCATTATGTTTTAATTATTTATATGTTGCGATTGAGTCAACCTCTCGATCACCGCGAACTACTTTCAAAACATTTACCTGAATCCTTTGATGATAACATAGCTAAACGCAGCACGGTTCTTGTAAACATTTCTTATCTACAAATATAATAAATATTCTTGGGAAGATAAAATATTTAAGGCGGGTAGGGACCCTTTACATATGATTTGGCATATTGGGGGGGGGGGGAGTGAGACGAAGTAACGAACCTTCCTATTTAAAGTTACAGGCCCGGAAACTGCATTCCAGCTATTTCCCACAATTTTGGTTAATGTAACTATGTGTATGATAGACAAATATATTTTTGTGAAACACATCTCGAACTGAAAAATTAGTGAAAATTCTTGATTTTCATATATGGGGTTGATTTACATATATGAAACTTGAGTTTCACTAATTTATGAAACTAAAAGTATACAGCTATTTCAATTAAGGTTGTCCACGAGCAAAGCGGAAAAGTCGAGTACGAGCGCGAAAGGCTGCTGGGAATCGCTAACAAATTAATGAATTTTCAAAGCGATTCCCAGCAGCCTTTCGTGCTGGTATTCGACTTTTCCGCTTTGCTCGTGGACAACCTTAATTGAAATAGCTGTATATGTGAAAATGAATGTCAAATGTGAAATTAAGTATTTCACATGCGGAATTGGAACACTTCACATGTGAAAAGACATTTTCGTAAGGGTAAAGCCTCTCAAACTTGAAATTAATATGATGAAACAGGTTTGCTTAATATCTTTAGCAATATTTTGAAGTCTTAATTTTGCACCATACCTACCTCAATTGTCAATAGAGATACGAGATTTTTGTACACATCCGATGTTTTTGTTTTCAGTTGATCATCCCATTTTTGATCTGTCAACGTCATTTCAGATGCCACTGAACTTTTCTCTATATTAGCAAAACATTTTATTATTACTCTAAGTATTCAGCGTTTTATCTGAGAGGTGGGTTTATATGGTCAAAGCAGAATGATAAAACGTATAGATAGAGTGGATTAAAAACGGCGAATATTATTTAATTTGATTTCCACTAAACCTTCAGTTGGTTTTAGTTCACACTGTTTTCCATCTCCTTGAAACAACGTTGGACATTTTTCACATGTAAATCCTTCAGAATTCTGAGCAGTGGAACACTCGAGACCTGGATAACACGGCAGTTCATCACAAGGATTTGAACGTATTTCACATCGGTCACCTGTGTAGGGATCTTCACATTGACAGAAATAATCTGTTGGGTGAACAGGATATGCAATGGACTTGCTTTGATAACATTTACCATTGTGCACACATGGACATTCGAAGGCATTCACTTGAAGAATTAAAATATTCTTTCCATCCATCTCATCTTGAACTTGTACATAAACAGTTCCATTTTCTTTAAGATTCGTTATTGTAAGCAATTGTTTCGAGATTCGTGCTGTAATCAAAGTTCCATTTGATAGCAAGGTAAATGTCATGTCTTGATTTTCAGGGTCTACTGCCATAATCTGAATTTTGAAGTCATTGTTCAAGATAGCGTATACTGCACTTGGAATGATAAACTGAGGGGGTCGATTTTCTAGAAAATTGAAATTACGCAGTGTTTGGCTTTCTTCCGCATTACTATTGTTTGTAAACAATATAGTGTAAAACGAATTTAAATTCAGCACTGTACTGTCAACTTAGGTTTTACTAAATGTATACTTAATGTAGTTCCAATGTTGATGCAGTATCTAACATAAACGTAGCATTCAGTAGTATAATATATATAACTTGATAATTTAAATTAAATGACGTTGGCGAGAGTACGTGTATCCATTTAACTGATCTAAATAATAATCCTTTATAACCTACCATTTATTAAACATTGAGGGTAGGATAATAACAAAAAAAACACACTGATTATTATGTTCTTCTGACAGAATGCATGCGTAGGGGTTTTACAGGCTGCTATGTTTGATGCATGGGATTAGAAGCCATTTTGTTAAAACGATTCAGCAAGCGCCCTAATTGCGATTAACTGATAATCACTTTGCCTTTGCCATACTAATCTCAAAAAGTTCCAATGAATTTATAAAAGGTCATAAATTTATAAAAGGTCATTTCATGGTTGCTATCGTACGCGTTGTATCGTTTCCAAGGAAAAATACAACCAACCAATCAGATAGGTTTGAAAAAATTAAATTACCCTATTCTACTAATACTGCTCAAAAGTTAATTTTCATGAACAAGAATTAAAAATGTTTCTTGAATTGAAAAGCTAGGGTTGTATAGGCTTTTGTGCTCAATAATTTTATTTTAAACTTGATTAACTGTCATACCTGTGCAATTTATTTTCCCATCTCCAAAATATCCATTTTGACACTGACAAGAATACGATCCTTCAGAATTTGAACATGTTGCATTTTTATGGCAAACTGGTGGCGTATTATTACACTCGTTTACATCTAGAAAAGTTGGCAAAACAGGAGTCGGTCAATCCATAGTCACTGGGAATGCGGGCTTAGTTTATATATTGTTATTCACTACATGTTATTCACTACATGTTACTCATGTGTGTATACTTAATTAATGAAGTTAAAGAATTCAATTTTATATCATGTAGAGGAAATACTACTATAAGGCAAAAGTAATTTCCTGCAAAAGTTTCGTCGGAGTACATCAAATGATTTGGCCGTTCAGGAGATATTGACCGCGGGCACTTGCCGCTCCTCCATCCCCCTCCCCCCAGTCCTGGAAAATAAAAAAAAAAGCCCACTGTGGATTGGGTTAAGAAAATGAAACCTTTTCTTATTAAAAAAGGCGTGCGTCGCTTTTACCGGCAGTTAAACACTAGCAATAAAGAAAATAAGTAAAGTAATGACCCTTCAAAAAGATTAGCAAAACCTTTTAAAATTGGTGAAATTTCCGATTTTGGGCTACCTAATTAAGATTAAAATGTCAATGATAGGTGCATTATATGAAGAGATATAGTGGTTATGTTTACCTGAACAATTTACAGTGCCAACTCCAGTGTATCCAGATTCACATTGACAAGAATATGATCCCTCAGTGTTCGAACATTTTGCCAGGGAATGACAGACCGAAGGAGATTTTTGGCACTCGTTGATGTCTTAAGCATACAGAAAATATGTTAAATGATACAATCTGCTCTCGATATGTATAAAGCTGAATTAACAGGACAACGAAAGCAGCTACGATTTGCAAGGCATGTAGTAACACTACACCTTGCATTAAGGCGTGTAGCAACACTACACCTTGCATTATAAACTGCAAGAACTGATTAAAAAAACAGTTGCAGCTGTCGTTAACTCAAAGATGCATGGGGTTTGAAAGCTTTTCATGCAATTCATGTATTAGAAAGCTAGGGAGGACCCGTATTAGTAAGGGCCTGTTGGTAGTTTGACTGTAAATTGGTACCAGGCCAGTGGGAAAACCGCGTGGAAATTATATATAGAAAGGCTTATTATACTCAGAGGTTTGCTTGCAATTTCAATTTTGTCTGGTGCGTCTGCTTTGCCTTTCGAAAAGAAGAAAATGAAATGATCTATATATAAATTAAGCATTAAATGAAATTTTACCATCACAGTTTAGCTTTCCATTTCCAGAAAATCCGGTTCTACAATGACAGAAATATGATCCTGGAACATTGCTACAGATGGCAAACTGATGGCAGATGTTAGGTATAGTTAAACATTCGTCAATGTCTACAGAAAAAAGTTTTTGCAAAGAAATTAATATAGTGTTCTGACCATTCAAATTACTTTTAATATTTTTGGCGAAAGTTTGATAATTATTTGCCGTAAATCAATGGCAAAGTCAAAGTAATCGCAATTAAGGTGCCTGCTGAATCGTTTTAACAAAATGGCTTCCAATCCCATCATGAACTCTTGCTTATGCAATTGTCATTTGCCAACATAAATGAATAAATAACAAGTTAAAAAAAGAGCGCTAAAGATCTTTTGAAACCAAAAACCAGTGCAAAAGTTTACCCAGAGGCACAACAAGTTCCAATGAGTTTATAAAAGCGAAAGTAAAAAAACACACTTTTGCTTATATAAATGGTATAGCTATAGTGAATATAATGCATTATATTTTTTTGTAATATAATGAGTTTATATAATGAATTTTTATGGTTGCTTTGCATATCTAAGGGAAAAAATACAACTGACCAAGCAGATACGGTTGGAATCAGTTTCGGAAAACAATATCTGCATTTTGAGAGAGTGAATGATATCACCCTATTCTGTTAATTCTTCTTAAAAGATAATTGTCATAACGAGAATTGAAAATGTTTCTTGAAAAGCTGGGATTTTACAGGCTTTTGTGCTCAACAATTTTATTTTAAACTTAAATATACCTGTGCAATTTCTTTTCCCATCTCCAGAATATCCATTTTCACACTGACAAGAATATGATCCTTCAGAATTTGAACATGTTGCATTTTCATAGCAAACTGGTGGCACATTACTACTACACTCATTTATATCTAGCAAAAATGGGCAAAAAATAAATCGGTTAATCCATGATTTCATTTCTGAGCCCTATACAATGTATTTTAGGCTACTTTCAAGTTTATCATGTACAGTACAAGAGTAATACTACAAGTAATAGGTAATTCGGATTTCGAGGTTATGTTGTTAGATTATTTCAGCTTCATTCTGGAAACTGTTAGATCTAACGTTAAGGAATTGATTAGCAAGAAACACGAACAAATTTAGAAATTTATACAATATCCTTTTTGTGCTTATTATTTTTGTGATGAAATATTACACTGAAAAGTATTAAAATCTGTATTGTACATTGGATCATTCATAACCCATTTTAAAATTAAACACCTTCAGTCTGTGCTAGATATTAGCTAGTGGCTGCCTCAGTGAATTCAACTGCATGCTAAATATCGGCAAAGTTCCTGACCATGCATGCCTTGTCAAAGGCGACAAGCATTAACCTCTTACATGTGTTAGCATACCTGTACAGTTGCTGTAACCATCACCCGAGTACCCCACAGCACATTGACATACATAAGATCCTACAGTGTTTGAGCATTGGCTGTTTTGAATGCACACGTTGGGAGAAATGCACTCGTCAATATCTGTATAGAAGAACAACATGTAAACAGAAAATTAGAAAATACAGCTAGGGATTTCACCAATTCCACCTTCGTAGTAAACCTATAACTTTGTAATACCTGAACAGTTAAGTTTACCATCACCAGTTGTATAACCTTTCAAACTGCTATGTTTGATGCATGGGATTAGAAGCCATTTTGTTAAAACGATTCAGCAAGCGCCCTAATTGCGATTAACAGATAATCACTTTGCCTTTGCCATACTAGTCTCAAAAAGTTCCAATGAATTTATAAAAGGTCATAAATTTATAAAAGGTCATTTCATGGTTGCTATCGTACGCGTTGTATCGTTTCCAAGGAAAAATACAACTAACCAATCAGATAGGTTTGAAAAAAGTTTCGGTAAATTACCCTATTCTACTAATACTGCTCAAAAGTTAATTTTCATGAACAAGAATTAAAAATTTTTCTTGAATTGAAAAGCTAGGGTTGTATAGGCTTTTGTGCTCAATAATTTTATTTTAAACTTGATTAACTGTCATACCTGTGCAATTTATTTTCCCATCTCCAAAATATCCATTTTGACACTGACAAGAATACGATCCTTCAGAATTTGAACATGTTGCATTTTTATGGCAAACTGGTGGCGTATTATTACACTCGTTTACATCTAGAAAAGTTGGCAAAACAGGAGTCGGTCAATCCATGGTCACTGGGAATGCGGGCCTAGTTTATATATTGTTATTCACTACATGTTACTCATGTGTGTATACTTAATTAATGAAGTTAAAGAATTCAATTTTATATCATGTAGAGGAAATACTACTATAAGGCAAAAGTAATTTCCTGCAAAAGTTTCGTCGGAGTACATCAAATGATTTGGCCGTTCAGGAGATATTGACCGCGGGCACTTGCCGCTCCTCCATCCCCCTCCCCCCAGTCCTGGAAAATAAAAAAAAAAGCCCACTGTGGATTGGGTTAAGAAAATGAAACCTTTTCTTATTAAAAAAGGCGTGCGTCGCTTTTACCGGCAGTTAAACACTAGCAATAAAGAAAATAAGTAAAGTAATGACCCTTCAAAAAGATTAGCAAAACCTTTTAAAATTGGTGAAATTTCCGATTTTGGGCTACCTAATTAAGATTAAAATGTCAATGATAGGTGCATTATATGAAGAGATATAGTGGTTATGTTTACCTGAACAATTTACAGTGCCAACTCCAGTGTATCCAGATTCACATTGACAAGAATATGATCCCTCAGTGTTCGAACATTTTGCCAGGGAATGACAGACCGAAGGAGATTTTTGGCACTCGTTGATGTCTTATAAGCATACAGAAAATATGTTAAATGATACAATCTGCTCTCGATATGTATAAAGCTGAATTAACAGGACAACGAAAGCAGCTACGATTTGCAAGGCATGTAGTAACACTACACCTTGCATTAAGGCGTGTAGCAACACTACACCTTGCATTATAAACTGCAAGAACTGATTAAAAAAACAGTTGCAGCTGTCGTTAACTCAAAGATGCATGGGGTTTGAAAGCTTTTCATGCAATTCATGTATTAGAAAGCTAGGGAGGACCCGTATTAGTAAGGGCCTGTTGGTAGTTTGACTGTAAATTGGTACCAGGCCAGTGGGAAAACCGCGTGGAAATTATATATAGAAAGGCTTATTATACTCAGAGGTTTGCTTGCAATTTCAATTTTGTCTGGTGCGTCTGCTTTGCCTTTCGAAAAGAAGAAAATGAAATGATCTATATATAAATTAAGCATTAAATGAAATTTTACCATCACAGTTTAGCTTTCCATTTCCAGAAAATCCGGTTCTACAATGACAGAAATATGATCCTGGAACATTGCTACAGATGGCAAACTGATGGCAGATGTTAGGTATAGTTAAACATTCGTCAATGTCTACAGAAAAAAGTTTTTGCAAAGAAATTAATATAGTGTTCTGACCATTCAAATTACTTTTAATATTTTTGGCGAAAGTTTGATAATTATTTGCCGTAAATCAATGGCAAAGTCAAAGTAATCGCAATTAAGGTGCCTGCTGAATCGTTTTAACAAAATGGCTTCCAATCCCATCATGAACTCTTGCTTATGCAATTGTCATTTGCCAACATAAATGAATAAATAACAAGTTAAAAAAAGAGCGCTAAAGATCTTTTGAAACCAAAAACCAGTGCAAAAGTTTACCCAGAGGCACAACAAGTTCCAATGAGTTTATAAAAGCGAAAGTAAAAAAACACACTTTTGCTTATATAAATGGTATAGCTATAGTGAATATAATGCATTATATTTTTTTGTAATATAATGAGTTTATATAATGAATTTTTATGGTTGCTTTGCATATCTAAGGGAAAAAATACAACTGACCAAGCAGATACGGTTGGAATCAGTTTCGGAAAACAATATCTGCATTTTGAGAGAGTGAATGATATCACCCTATTCTGTTAATTCTTCTTAAAAGATAATTGTCATAACGAGAATTGAAAATGTTTCTTGAAAAGCTGGGATTTTACAGGCTTTTGTGCTCAACAATTTTATTTTAAACTTAAATATACCTGTGCAATTTCTTTTCCCATCTCCAGAATATCCATTTTCACACTGACAAGAATATGATCCTTCAGAATTTGAACATGTTGCATTTTCATAGCAAACTGGTGGCACATTACTACTACACTCATTTATATCTAGCAAAAATGGGCAAAAAATAAATCGGTTAATCCATGATTTCATTTCTGAGCCCTATACAATGTATTTTAGGCTACTTTCAAGTTTATCATGTACAGTACAAGAGTAATACTACAAGTAAGAGGTAATTCGGATTTCGAGGTTATGTTGTTAGATTATTTCAGCTTCATTCTGAAAACTGTTAGATCTGATAACTTTAAGGAATTGATTAGCAAGAAACACGAACAAATTTAGAAATTTATACAATATCCTTTTTGTGCTTATTATTTTTGTGATGAAATATTACACTGAAAAGTATTAAAATCTGTATTGTACATTGGATCATTCATAACCCATTTTAAAATTAAACACCTTCAGTCTGTGCTTGATATTAGCTAGTGGCTGCCTCAATGAATTCAACTGCATGCTAAATATCGGCAAAGTTCCTGACCATGCATGCCTTGTCAAAGGCGACAAGCATTATCGTCTTACATATGTCAGTACCCTCACCTGTACAGTTGCTGTAACCATCACCCGAGTACCCGACAGCACATTGACATACATAAGATCCTACAGTGTTTGAGCATTGGCTGTTTTGAATGCACACGTTGGGAGAAGTGCACTCGTCAATATCTGTATAGAAGAACATGTAAACAGAAAATTAGAAAATACAGCTAGGGATTTCACCAATTCCACCTTCGTAGTAAACCTATAACTTTGTAATACCTGAACAGTTAAGTTTACCATCACCAGTAGTATAACCTTTCAAACATTGGCAGGAATAACTTCCTTCGGTATTGGTACAATTGGCATTTTGATGGCAAATATCAGGAGTTTGTATGCATTCATCCACATCTAAATATATGTTTTTCATTTCAAAAGTATTTTAAATAACAAAAACAATTAGAATCACTTGAAGTTTATTTGTTCGCGGGAACCAGATACAAGGCCGGCGAGAGCCAACCACGGGCCCCGGGACAAAATGAGAAATTGGTGAACACGGGCCCCATGCGCCAAAGCCTATTTTTAATCGCAATCAACGAGAGAATTTCCAGCGAATTACTTGCAAGAAATCGCCTCATAACTGATAAAAACGCAATGTGAACGATTTTCAGCTAACTGTTTTTGCTGAGAGAAGATCGAAAAATCGTCTATTTCACATTTGGTACGTTTTACGATCGATCACGACGATTTCCGGGCCCCTCTGAGCACTCCGGGTATTTTACCCCCTCTGCTCCCCTCTCGCCGGCCTTGACCAGATATGTAATTTTCGTCAACAAGTCGGTTAGTTAATTAAGAAAATCCAAATGTAAATTCTGGTCGAATTACATTCATGACTCGACGTTTTGACAATCCGGTCTATGGTGTCTTGATATATCTATGGGGTTTTTTGGTTCCACCTGTGGTTGGAACTCTCTCTTTTCGTTTATTTTTAATTCTATTTGCAGTAGTTTTGTCTTTTAAATCGTTATGAATTACTTAAGATATATGTTCTTTCTGGAAATTTTTGTTTGAAGGTTCATACTGCTTACGCTATCTGATTAAAAGCTGAAACATGCAGCAGGTAGCATACCAGTGCAATTGCTTTTGCCATCTCCTGTGTATCCGTCTGTACACTGGCACACGTAAGATCCATTATTGTACACACATTTCGCGTTAGTGTGACATACTTGAGGTTTTGTCAGACATTCATCCTCTTCTAAGAAATTTAAATATACATGTATTGATTAATACACTTACATGAAAATTTTAAACATGTCGAAGTCATATTGTACCAATTACTTACAATATCAGGATTATCTTTCTGTGTAGTGGAGTAATTAAGTATAAGGCCTTTTATTTGTAATATGTTGCCATGGGGATATAAACCCTCTTTTTCAGTGTATTCTGTTAGTTGTACATGTATCACTTATTTACTGAGACTGAGGGAAAAGTGTGTTTTGTGGACCCGAGACCGCCGTTGTTGCCCTAGGCGAAGCCGAGGACAACAACGGCGGTCGAGGGGCCACAAAACACACTGCTTTCCCGAGGTTTCAGTAAATAAGTGTTTTGTTATATAGTATATAAGTGTCAAAGTATGAATAATTCACCGGTTATTGGAGTGGATTTAATTTGAAACCATAAATGGAACGCCGTAAATGTTTAGTAAAAAGTTTTAAAAATGAACTTTGGAACTTCATGGTTGACACGCATGCGTATTGCACCCATTTTATTATTGACCGGTCAATAAATGTTTCATTGCGAACCGGTTGCCGAACATGACGTTTTGTGAACAGGCACGTGACACGGTTTTGACCAATCGGCAAACAGAAAAATTGAACTTTGACACTAACTATATAACAATGCCTTTTATTGCATCTTAGTTTTTTTATTATATACTGTACCTTATTTAACTACCTTAACTACGTTTACTTTTAATGTTTTAATTGGCATAAAACATTTTAAAACAGATCCCCCTAATGACACTGGCCCGCAGCCAGTGTCATAGAATGCCCTTGCTGAAAATGCTGTCTTTTTGGGGTTTTTTTGGTTGTCGCAAGTGTGACTTTCCATTGCGGCATCGTGGACTCAGGATTGCGCAATTTAGCTAAAACATGCTCACGATGATTAGAACCAATTCTACACAATGTTAATTAGAACGAATTTCGTATTTAACTACTGTACGTTACAAATCTTAGACGCCGTAATTGTGGGACGTATTTTATTGTATTTCATTGCGCATGCGCTTGAATTTATTGACTCTTATTGTGCCGTGGACTATGGACTCTATTGTGCCGTCCTCTAAATGTTTGTGATCATGAAGTGACGGCCGTCAAGAAGTGAAGAACATCTACATGTTTCAAATTTTTGTTTAGAATATTGCGATGCTATTTTAACAAACGCGAGGCTAGTGTGAACGCTTGAGCTGAGCAGGCGTCTTGTTAGCATCTAATAACGTTCATGGTTCACGGTAGTTGACTGTTTTGGGGGGTTTAAAAGGGTATACATGCAACCAAAATAGCATGCTCTGTTTGGCTTTTGGGCTAATTCATCATGTGGTCCAAACACCGTGCCATTATTATTTGTTTGGTTTATAAATTTAAAATATATAGTACATACCTCCATCTATTCTGGTACAAGTCTCTCCATTAGCAGTATAACCTAGTGGGCATGGTCCACAACTGAATGAGGCGACCATATCGGTACAGTGGACACCAAGGAAACACGGGTTGGATGCACAATCATCAATCTTAAATAGAATAGAAATGTTCAAGAAGCTATACCAAAAAGAATTGTAAAATACTTTCCGTTCAAAATTAAGATTGTTTCTGAAAATATTCAGACCAGTTCAGAAGGGACATGGCAATGTGTCCCATATCCATCTTTTAGCAAGTTATAGGAGATGTGATACAGCTTTATTGCAATGAGGGAAATTGATAGTATAGTTTCAACAGCATTATCAATCCTAACATTGAGATAATCAAATTGTTGATGTCATCAAAGAATGATTACCGATTTCTGCCAAATGCCAAAATTTGCTGAGAGATTTTACGTTTTTGGCCATTATAAAGATTTATATAAATCTTGCATATGCAAGACCAAGTGGCACGCGATTCAATTTTATTATTACCATCATTCTATCATTTTCATTTTTAATCAGCTAAAAATAAATGTTCTGAGGGATGTTTATAGAAAAGTAACTATTTTACATGTATTGTTTTAAAATAGAAATTTTCGTTTCAAAATGTTCAAACTCACTTTCATGAATAGTTAACCTTGTCCAACAATTAATTAGATTAAAATTTATTTAGCTAGTCAATGGCCATTGGGTTTGCTTAATTTTTAAAAATATTTTTATGCACGAAAAAGTTTAAAACATAATCACACCACGTTTGGACTGCCAAACATTTCTTAAACATCATGTGGAGTCGGGAATGTATAGACCCATTGCACATGATGTCACACTGCGCCGGTGACGATGCATCTGGAGGACAAATTAACAATCTATGCATAATATAGCTAACTTCTGTAAACAAAGCACATTTTGTAGAACTTTATAATAATTTTGTATTAAAATGGTTAATTTTTGCGCTGTATGTGGTTGTTGTACCCGAACAGATATTATTAGGGAGCATCTGGAGGACACTCTAAGGATTTGTGACGTCAATGCAATGGGTCTATTGGCAAATTTATGTCCAGCACGAAGGTAGAAACAAGGCGTCTTTGGCAGCCATAATTGATTTTTTCGCTTCAGACAACTTGAGTTTGAACTCATCGGCAGTCTTCGAAGAGCTCCATTGTCTTCAAAATTGGATCAATCGCTTCTTTAACATCAGAATGTTCTTCCTTGTCCTAAATACTAACAAACTTATCATCGCTGGAACATTTTCATCCATAATTTTTGAGAAAATAATGAATATTCAACGCGCCTCGCGTAATTCGCTCCTATGTTTAATAGACAGAATTAAAAAAGACGACGCGAGCTCAAAGACGACGCGGGTGTCGTCATTTGGCGCCAATTGTCGTCAGCTTCTGGTTTGCGACCTGTTTGCGACGTCGTATTGGACGATTTCACGACGCGAAAATGCAATTTTCACGTCCTCTCTACAGTGTGTATCAAAATAATTCGAATCCAAAGTTGACAGACTGCTGTTTATAAAATACTAAAGTAAACCATATAATTTTTATATGGCAATAAAGAATAGCCTATTAGGTTTCCGATTATATCGTTCTTATATCAATAAGATCAAAAATGACCAAGAAATCGTGTGTTAAAACTGGTTGCTCGAAATCAAATTTTTCCGCCGATGGGAATTCGAAGTGAGACGTACAAACAAAAGATAATGCAAATTTAATTAATCAACAAACTGTTATGTAGCAACATTTACATAAATTCGTGTTCATTTAAAGAGATTTAAGCTCCTATGCCTTCAACATGTTGAACGAGAAGAAATTCGCGTTAAATTTGCATTTTAGTTTTCAGTGATGATTAGCATTTCAAAGCCTTGTGGGACTAACTTTGAAAGAAAAAATGTCCAATTCCCATCGGCGGAAAATTGTGATTTTTATGGACTTTTTTGTCAAAGCAATACTCCTTCATTTTCCAACTAAATGACGCGTACAGCATGTCATTTGAAAGGTAAATAAATGAACTTAACAATGGTGTAAAAACCAACCGAATTTGTCAAATATATTCTGCGTTATTACACGCCAAATTTGGATTCGAATTATTTTGATACACACTGTAGAACGTCACATATTTACACTTCTTTTCAAAAAACTATGAGAGTTTGCATCACAAATGTCATTCTATTTTGTTCCCCATGTATTGTTTAATAACGACTCTAGTTAAATATTTTTTATTGACAAGGTTGCTTTTCTAATTGTATTTCGCTAAATTTTGGACGTGTTGATTTTCGACAAATACTTTCGTCGTCGTCACAAATCAACAAAACTGCAAGTATTGTTTTTTTAAATAACCACTTCTGTCAATACCGCTAGTATTTTTCACCAAACGAACATTTTATAACTGAAGTTATATTAATAAGTGTTTAAAATCAGGAAAACTTGCGAAGATAGGAGAATAAAAACACTTAAAACAGTAAAAACTCAATCAATTTTAGTTGCTCTGTCACAATAGTGCAAAAAAGTAGGACGAGTAAAAAAAAAACGCTTTCTAGCGTGAAAAACTATCGTATAAGCAGTATTAAATTTTACCAATATAAACACCCATGCAATATTTATACTGAACAGTTGACAAAATTGACTGAATCGGCTACACACTAAAGCATTTAGCTCGTAAACAATACCTGCAGCTTTTGTATTCATTCTAAATGATGCAACAATACCGAAATATACGGCTTTTTTTAAAAAGAAACTTATTGAATGTTCATACAAATCCATCAGGAAACACTTGGCCAGTATGGCTTTTTCGTGCACATATCTTTACAACTGATTGAAAAAATACAGGAATGACGCAGGAAACAAGAAAACAAAAATTTGCTTCAAAAAAGACAAACATGCCGTTTCAGATTAAAACCCGGAAGTGAACGCGAGGTGCATACGTCATTATCACGTCGCCTTAGATGTCGCGTCGTGGTTTCTAAATCTATCTATTGATATTTTCATGACATTGATTCAAACGATCACCTCAGTTTGACAAAGATCACCAGTATATCCAACATAACAAGAGCAAGAGAACCCAGGTTGTTCATTATTACAATTTCCATTAAAACAAGGTTTAGACACTGCACACTCATTCACATCAAGCTCACACAAGGTACCCGTATATCCTGCAGGACATGAACATGTGAAGTTTCCTGCTCCATTTAGATAGCGATAATCAGGATGACATTCTCCTGAATTTTGACATGGACATTCTTTTATAACAACCGAAGCGTGTAAAACAGAGTATGCTCCACATTCGTCTGTCACATTAAATATAACAATGGTTGAATCATTGGTGTTTTTAGTGCAAGTGAATAATCCTCTTTCTGTCAACGAAGCATCAAGTGTACTATCAAAGGTATAGCGTATTGGTCTATTCTCTGGGTCTATCGCTTTAAGTTGAACGCGCAGTTCTTTACCAAGGAAAGCGTGCAAAACAGTTGAAGTGGTAAACTTTGGACTCTGATTATCTGAAAAAGTGTTATTGTAAGAGGACATGTTAAGATAGATAGATAGTATATATATATATATATATATATATATATATATATATATATATATATATATATATATATATATATATATATATATATATATATGGGA